TAATTAAATATATAATAATGTTGCAAATGCAGATACCGTCCAGAATGCTTCACCTTTTGATTGGATGTGACAGAACGAATGTCGAATGAATTTTAGACACCGTCTTCTTTTTATTCTGTACACTGAAAAAAATCCATGTACTTTTACATGGAAATTACTGGTTCAGAACTGAAAAGTTACTTGCTTATATCACTGTAATTTTTTTTCCATTTTAAATTTTCCATTTTCCGTTTTAAAGTGAAAATGCATATTAATGTAAAAATACATGTAAAATGTATGTAAAATTACTATTTTTATGCAAAAAATCATATGTAATTATAAATTTATTAGAACTTTATTTTATAAGTATTTATCTATTTTTTCTTTATAACATTATTTTATAGCATTTATACATTACTAACATTTCCTATTTGTAATTACATGTTCAGTGAAATATTTTTAATCTTGAAAATATTTCATATGAAATTACATATAATCTGTAATCTTCCATATAAGTATCAATATTGCATGATATGTTGGGTCGGAAAACCTAGCTTAATCATGTAATTTTACATAAATATTTTTTTCAGTGTATTAATTATTTCAATTTACAAGTTAAAAATTATTGGTCTCCTCGATTTTTTTTTGTTTCCAAAGTACAATGTCGATGAATTTTTGGCGGTGAATTTCTAGAATGGAAAATCCGCTTTAGATTTCGAACACTGTGTATGTGTATACATATATATCTAGCTCATATTAATATTGATTTCTTGGGTGATAGTAATATAAGTTATCGCGTCAACAGAGCCTCCAAATAACGATATGGATTTCAAGGGACGTCAATATTGCAATATAAAATTAAAATTCACAAAATTAAAATTGTTTTTATTTAAATTCTCATATTAATTCTTTAAATATTTATATAAATTAATAAGAGAATAATCGTACATTACTATTGCTTTAAATCCTGCGTTTGCATTAATAAAGAATAGTTTACTATTCCAAACTAGATTATCGTGCGCAGAGGTGGGAGAACCTTTTGCCTCAGCTCGTAAATCCGTTTGGGATCCTTTTCGTGCGGAAGGTAGCCCCAAGATGCATCAAGGATTTCGTCTTGAATTTTGCACGCGCTCAGGGGGCACGCGGCTCCCCACTTCGATAATATAAACAGCATTCGCTTTCAGCGAGAAGATCTACCGCAGGAGAAAATGTACCGAGACCGAGTATACTTGCGTACGCAGTGAAACAAAGTTGTTAGCTCAACTAAATTTCGACTAAATAATATTTGGATAGTTGAACATATAAACATATTTAAATTAAATACATATCATATTCAATCTAATGAAATTTAAATTTTAAATACTATAACACATGTTCAATTAATAAAATAGTAATTTTTTGACATTCTTAGAAAAAAAAAAAAAAAAAAAATTCCAACGTTACATAAGAATCACTAAAATATCAAATATATTATCAAATATGTAGTGTATTTAAATTTCGTGTGTTAAATACACTGAAAACATTGTTAATTTGACTAAATTAAATTTCAACTAAATAATATTTTGTTACTTAAACATAAAATATTTAAATTAAATATAACATTAATTCTAACAAAATGTATTTAAATACTAATTATATGTCAAATTACAAAATAGTAATTTAGTTGAAAGGTTTAGTCAAGTTAACAATTTTTTTCAGGGTATGTCGGCAATATAGAAATACATAAGATTACCTTGATGAATCTTTCAACTTAATCTTTCAAGATTTAAATACTAATATATGTCCAATTAACAAAATAGTAATTTAGTTGAAAGGTTTAGTCAAGTTAACAATTTTTTTCAGGGTATGTCGGCAGTGTCATAGAAGTGCATAAGATAAACCAATTTTTTGACATTCTTAGAAAAACAAAATAATTGCAACGTTACATAATAATCACTAAAATATTAAATATATTTTCAGAATAATTTATTTAAATTTTGTGTGTTAAATATATTGAAAAAAGTTGTTAACTTGACTAAATCTTTCAACCAATACTATTTTATTAATTGAACATATAGAAATTTTAAATTAAATTAAATATAATGTATTAAATCTAAAAAACGTGTATTTAAATACTAATATATGTTCAATTATTAAAATAGTAATTTAGTTGAAAGATTCATCAAGTTAATAATTTTTTTTCAGTGTCGCACAATTTCAGACATTTCATATATTGTATATAAATGCAGAATAAACAGAGCTCAAGCAAGTCAGAGATTGAAAAACCATTCGTCGATATATTACGCTCCGTTAAATTTCAAAGATAACGAAAAATCGCGAAAAGTTTTTGTCACGTAAAATCTGTCCTGCGTGACGCAATTGTAAAAACAGTACCTGGTGGAAGAGGATATCGTCCATTTATCCGCGATGCGGCTTGCCGATTGGTTATTTAGCTTCCGATCCTTTTTTTGCCGTTGAAAAATAAAAGCGACCAGCGGTCAGAAAAACGAGTGGGTGGTGGACGAACACAGGGTGGCACGTATTGTGTGGAAAAGTTAGTAAAACAACAACGAAAAAACATAAAAAAACACACAAAAAAACTGTCGACGATATTACGGCGTGTCCGGCGAAGCGGACGTATAATTTCCGGCCTGACGTTGGATATCCTCGTCAACGTGTTCCGTACATTCGCGAAACGCGCTGTCTCTTCCGCAAGGCAGTTTGTTTGCGTTAAGCCGCGTATAAACCTAACGAACGTATGAACGAACCTGCAACATCCTATCGAGGGATCAAACCGTCACGAGCTGAAAGGGACCGGTTTTTTCTTCGGTTTCGCGGAGCAAAGGACGGGACAACTATTTGTTTTTCATCTCCATCTTCCCTAAACACATCGTCTCCTTGCTTGTATGCGTGTATTAATATTGAAAAAATTGTATGTAAAATGTATGTACATTATTTTCTTCAATGTACAATGTATTCATTTATTATCGATGTGTGTATTAATATTTAAAAAATTATTTTATATACACGGAGGGAATTTTCTCTTAGAATTTATCCCGAAAATCAGGATAATATTGGAAGAATTTTAGAAAAGTTTCTCTGTGTGATTAATATTTACTGCAATAAAAAAAAAATAGTAAAATTAATCGAACATATTTTTATTGTGATAAATATTAATCAGAGAAATTCTTCCAATATCATATTATCTCAAGATTATCATAATTTTCAGTGTAACTTTTAAGAGAAAATTCTCCCTGTGTATAAAATTATTTTATATACGAAATATTATATACACTAAATTATTTTGTTAATTGAACATATATTAGTATTTAAGTCAAATACACGTTTTGTTAGATTTAATGTATTATATTTAATTTAAATATTTCTATACGTTCAATTAACAAAATAATATTTAGTTGAATAATTTAGTCAAGTTGACAAATTTTTTTCAGTATATATAAAATATTTATATAAAAAAATTGTATATAAAATTATATATAAAACGCAAATTTCTCTTCAAATATGTATGTACATTCATTTGTTATCAATGTGCATTAATATTTAAATAATTATATATAAAATATCATATATAAAAATTATATACATATATAAAAATTATATACATATGTAAAATATATAATATATAAAATATATACATATAATTTATACACATATAAAAAAATTTGTTGTCTAAAATGACGTATGAATGAAAGAATATACGTAAATCAGATTGAAAAACTGCATTTCTTTTGAAATGCTAAGAATAAATCTTGCTCGGGGAGGCCTGTATCCGTTAAATGATCGAACATAACGGATTTTAAAGAGCCAGAAACAGAGCGATGCTGAACAACTCGCTGCCTCTACATGTGCCTTATCTAGAGTGACGGCGTTAAATCGGCGCGCGTGATCGCGCATACTAATTCAAACTACGAGATATATATTTCGGTTTTCCTGCACCACACGTACTTAGACTTCTTCCCTTCCCCTCGCGTAATTTGTTTAACGTATGCCGCGCATATCAGATGAGAGAAATTCCAGACGTGGACGGGAGAGATTCGTTAACTATCGACCCTCGACTGCGGATGGCTAATACTAACGCGATTAAACAAGATAAATGATGTGTTTCTTATCTCCGCGTCTTTTCGCGCGCTATCATTAATCATTTCGATATATAATACCATTTTCCTTGTGACACAGACTCGGAAACGATGGAATAACAATGAACTCTTTAGCTGCAAACGCCAAGGATCCATCTAACAAACGTTTGCACTGCAAAACATTTCGAAAGAATAATTTATTTAAAAATTGCTTTTCGCAATTAATTTATAATATTTGCTTATATATTTCACGTTGATACAGGGTGTCCCATAGGAAATTGTTGAAACTAATCAGCTGTCAATTTTTAATGCATGTAGTTATTGAGACAAAAAAAATTGTGTTGAAAAGAGGGAATCTGCAATTTTTAATGGATATATAATAAATAAAATGTTTGTATGTCAGTTTATTTTATTGAAAAAAAGTAATAAAAAAGTGCTAATAATTACATATGTAAACTAATGATAAATACTTTCAAAGTGCACACCATTTAAATTTGTACAAAATTCTGTTCTTTTAATACAAAAACTCGTAAGAACTTTTTCTAACATGTCATTTTTACTGTTATTGACGGTTTTTTAAATAGCTGTTATTAAATCTAGCATTGTTAAAAATATTTATCATTAGTTTACGTAATTTTATGTGATTATTAGTTCTTTTTTATTACTTTTATCAATAAAATAAACTGATATACAAACCTTTTATTTATATCCATTAAAAACTGCAGACTTTCCTCTTTCCAACACAATTTTTGTTTTCTCAATAACTGCATGCATTAAAAAATGACAACTGATTAGTTCCAGCAGTTTCCTATGGGGCACCCTGTATAAAAATAATAAAGCCAAAGTACTTGAAAATTCCAGTGCACCCTCATCTCGTTTGCCGATAATTTGAAAAGCTTCTTCGCTTTGTGCAGCTAAAAAGTAAAAACTGAAGTTGGGACTTACTTTCTCGCGAAGCATGTCCCTCACCCTGGTCGCCTGGCTCCTGCTCCTGTGCAGCTCCAGCTGCAATTCCAAACACCTCTCCTGCCAGTTGAGTTCCTCCACCGTCGTCGTGTACCCGTCGAAGCTCTTGGAGGTGACGTAGCTGGGCCGGACGTCCAGCTTCTCCCTCTTCAAGTCGACGCTGCCACCAGCGGTGGTCCTCGGATCGACGAACAATCTCCCTGTTTCGTACATCCGGGCAACCGAGGGTTGCTGCTCCGGTTGCCTGCCGGAGAACGAGAAGGCCCTGTCGAAGTGAGCCCTGCCGCTCGAAGGCCCAGGCTCGTAGTTCGACCTCCCTCTGCAGAGAGGACCGCCGGCTTCCTTCCCGACGTCGTAAGCCAAATCCGAGGTAATGAATGTCCTCTTGTCCGCGTACTCCACGTGACCGCTCGGCTCGGAAGTGAAATCGTACGGACTGCACTTGGGCTTCTCCCGCAGCTCGATGTAGCCGGCGCTCCTGGCGCTCTCGGCGAAGCTCTTATCCTTGTGGAAGAACAAATTCGGCACGTTGACGTAGGGCGAGTCCCTCGCGTGCACCACCGCCGGCGATGGCACGATACTGGCGTCGATCTCGCCTCCCGCATTGTTGTTGTTGTTGTTGTTATTAATATTCCCGGAAGAGGCGCTAGTGGCGGTGGCGCTGACGGCGGTGGCGGCGGTGGTAACGACGTGCCTAGGCCGTGGCGGCGGCGTGGGCGCCTGTCGAAGCTGTCGGGGCCAGAGTCGCGGACTGTCCGGATTCGAGCCACCGGTTTGTTGCGCGGAACCGCTCGGTCCGGCAGCGCGAGACGACGACGGACTGCCGCCGGCGGTGGCCGGGCCCGACTGGCCACCCGGGGGCCCGCTGCCCGCGTCGTGCACGCGCGTTCCCAGCCGCGGGCTGCACGGCGCCGAGCTGGAGCCGAAGTCGCCAGCCAGCCTGGTGATCGGGTCCAGGATCTGGGAGAGACGGCGAGTCGACGACGAGCCGCGTATCTCGTCCATCTCGTTTATTACGCCTTTATTATGACGCCTCTTCCTGCCTGCCGCCTACTTCTGCTTCCTGGGGTCCTCGAAGGATCCTCGGTGCATCGGGCAAGTCGCGCTTGTGCTTCTTCCCTTCTCGAATCAGGGCGTTCTTCCTGCGAGAGATCGTCGAGGCATCGACGCAGAAGCTGCTCATCCTCGCCATTTTGGTACCTCACACGCTCGTACGGTCATCGTCGATCGCGACATCGGGCTTGCGTTGCGATCTGAAAATAAAGGAATATTTTTTCACATTTTAGAAGAATATTGTGGAACCCTGCGGTGATATTAAGCAAAGAGGGATGAGAGACGATATCGTAAAAATGGCTTCGCCGATGGATGGGAACACCCATCTTTTTTTATGTGAATTTTGCTACCAGGGATATCGTGTCAACTGCGTGACTCGGAGTTTGTAGAACCTTATACGGATCACGACCCTATGTGCAGTACTTTTTTTATATTATACGTTATGTTATACGTTATATAAAATTTAATAATTGCATTCGACACATCGTGACATTCGTATAAAATTAATTATTAAATATTAATGAATTAGTAAAAAGGCGAAAGAATTTGTACAGTTTATTATTCATCAATTGGCTGGAATATTTTATTGTCAAGATGTGTGGCGCTAAAATCATTTGTAATCCGCGGTTTTCGACGTTCTGACGACAGATATATTCAAAAGGATGAGAAAAATGCGACGCGAAAAGATGGCACGCAGGGCTGCAAAGTTTATTTTAAGGTCGACGTTAAAAGGAGCCAAATGAAAAACCGGATGGAGGGAGTAGATGAGTGCAACCCGTCTCGTTCTGCAATTACTACACGGACGACGAGTCCGCCCATGAAAAATTCCAGTCTTTGCGAGCCGCCGCAGGAAGTAGATGACGAGCATAAATTGAAAACTTAACGTAAAAAAAAAAAAAAAAGAACCGTGAGCGTCGAAAAATAAAAGTCGCTACATCTTGAAATAATCTCTATTTACAAAAGCGAACGAGGAGTGCTTTCTTTTATAATTATAAGCAAAGTGTACACTAATTTTAGGAAACAAGAATATTAAAAATTGAAGAGAAAAAAGTCAGTCCTTTGATCATAGAATGCTTCTATTACTATGGTAATTAAAAATTAAAGAGTTTACATTTATTTTCATTATTAAAAAATTATATTTTACATACATAGAGAAGATTAATATTTCCTCTCTTGTTGCACGAGAAAAAGATAAATTGATAAGTATGAAATTTTTTTCTTGGAAAAATATTATAATAGAACGACGTAACATAAATTGTGACACGTCAGTCGTGACACGTGACATATATATATGACACTGTGAATCAGCTTTAAACGATCGCGAGATCACCTAATTTCTTCTCACAAATTTGACGTTAATTTGACAAATGACCTCTTCTTTATGTGACTTTTATATTCATCAGGTTTCTCTCTCTAAGAGAATAGACACTTTTATTTACAATGCAAGTAAAAAAATCTTTGCATTAAAATAGTATTAAAAATAATATTGCAAACTAATTATAAGGTAAGGAAATAAAACTTTGTTGGAAACTTAATTTAAAATAGACTTGTCAAATAAAATTCTTCAATTTAGAAAGATTAATATAATCCTAAAAATTCATAATATAGAAAATTAAACTGAAAAAAATTTGTTAACCGTTCAACTAAATTACTATTCTGTTAATTAAACATATATTAATATTTAAGTCAAATGCACGTTTTGTTAGATTTAATATATTCTATTTAATTTAAATATTTGTATATATACGTTCAATTAATAAAATCTTATTTGGTTGAGCGATTTAGTTAAGTTGACTTCTTTTTCAGTGTAAAAACTTGCGTGACAAATAATTATGTGCATCGATATCTTCAAAGAAAAGGGCAGATCGATCAAAGAATTTATAGCCACAGAGGACGGCTTACCAGGTTTGGGACACCCTGTATGCAGGCGTTGTTCAGAGGTCCCCTGCGGTGTCCATGAATAAATTTCAAATTAACTTTCGAACGATTTCCGCGTTATACGAGGCGCGACGGAAGCCCTCCGCAATCTCGGAGGTTCTTACGAGAAGGCACCCTTTATATCACCGAGGGCTCGCTCGCATACTCTCTATAAGTAAAGCCTCATCCGAGACTGCGAGGAAGACTTTCATTGACGTAAGACTTTCCGGCTGATCGTTAAAGTATCGCGGCATTAAAAAATTCTGAAAACTTGCATGGAGTATCGACTTTCGAGGCACGAGAAATATAAAGAATCCTTAAGAAAAAAAAGAAAAAAAGAAAGTCTTATACGAAACGCAATACAAATTTTCTTCAATAATTTTTGTGCACTAAAAAAATGTGTTAACTTGATTAAATTGCTACACTGTAAAAAATATGTAATGTTACATAAAAATATGTAAAATTATATACGTAAATAATAAATGTAAAATTATATACGATAAATAATGAAAAGTTATACATTTTATCTTTTATCGTGTAATTTTACACTTATTATTTATAATTAGTATAATTTTACATATTTTTATGTAATATTATTACATATTTTTTTTACAGTGTATTCTGTTAATTAAACATATATTAGTATTGAAGTCAAATATACGTTTTGTTACATTAAATATGTTATATTTAATGTAAATATTTTATATGTGTAATTAACGAAATAATATATTTAGTTGAAAGGTGTAGTCAAGTTAACCAATTTTTTCTAATGTGCTTTAAAATAAAATTGATGATTAAGACATATATAAGTTGTAAAGTTTCAATTTTATAATTTTTTGGTCAAATTTTAATTTAATATATCTACAACATAATTTTTTTCTTTTTTACGAAGAAAGCTGCCGGAAATTGCGAGAAAAATACAATAATCCGTTACGTCTATTATTGAAAACCGATATAATCGTTACAGAGTGAAGCGGAGATATAGACACGAGAAATAATATAAAGGAAAATTCTTATTTAAAATGCAATACAAATTTTTCTCAATAATCTTTGTGCTCCACAATAAAATTGATAATTAAGACATATTAGCTGTAAAGCTTCATTTTTATAATTTTTATGTCAAATTTTAATTAATATTCAACGTAACTTTTTCTGCGAAGAAATTGCGAGGAAAATACAAAATCCGTTACTTCCATTATTGAAAAATGATATAATCATTGCAACGCGAAGCAAAGATATACATCATCATTACACAGTATAGAAAAATTTGTTATCTTATTAAAAACGATTCTCGTTAAAATTTTTGTGTTAAATATTTAACACATTCATGTGTTAATTTAAAATATAACTGTTCTGTTCATTGAACTTAAATGTTAAATTATTTAAAAACTGAAAAAAATGTAAAAATAACACAATGTGCATCTATTTTCAATTTTACACAATAAATATATGTTTTGCATTATTAGTGACAAGATTTTTCTGTTAAAATTTACAAAAAAAAAATGTAATTTTATATTTTATAATATAAGTGGGGATGATAAAATCTACAATTAACATATTTTTTGTTAATTTTTACATTAAAATTATGTTAATTTTACACAAAATTTATTTCAAATTATTTAAAGTTTTGCATTTATTTTGTGTGAAAATATTAACACAATATTGTGTCTCCATTTAACATATCCATATTATGTCTAATTAACACCAAAATTTCTGTAGACCGTTTAAGACATGTGATATCTGTTAAATTTAACAAAAATTTGTCAACTGTGTATGCATATTATATTATAATCATGCAGTCTCGATCTAAATTGTATAATTTAATAGAAAATTCGATCAAATTATACACAAAGCGATGTATATTAGTTTGAATAATTTAAATATTCTTTACATAATCCTTCTAATTATAATAATCGCGTTCTCATAATGATAACCAGTGTTGTGCTTAGATGATTTAAAAATTAGCTAGATAAAGATAAGATAAAATATATAAATTCATCTTAGATAAGATGAAAATGATTTCGTTTGAATCTAGATAAAAGATAAAATTATATGGCAATTCATCTAGATAATAATTTTGAAGACTGCTTATATAAACACAATTATAAAAAAAGTAAATTATAAAAATATATGTATTTTTATTTATAAATTTTTATCGCTCACTGTTTAAGTTCCACTATTTAAGCATTTTTATATGTTATATGATTTTAAATCAAAATTATCTGAAAATTATTTTAGATAATTTAGTAAAGATAATACTTTTCTTCATCTAAGATGCAGATATAGATAAAATACATATTCTTATTATTTATATAAATATAAAATGACACCAAAGTTTCATATAGATGATCATCTATATAATTTTATTTAGCTATAATAGCAAACACTGATGATGACGATTATCAAGCGCGAGAGAAATCGCGGGAGGAAAATTTTCCGCAGCTATACAACTTCAATACGACACAGTCAATTGGACGTTGTTAGAATGTTTTGTCATTGCGTAACTAGCGGCGGTCACGAAGGCAGGTAGCAGTGGGTTCGCATTTTGCATAAATTACGCGTTCTTCTGCCCCGGCTTGCTTTTGTGGTCGCGTGATCGCGCGACGTTATTGTCGAAATGACGTTTGGCCGCTCGAGGCGCGGCAAAACAAATAGACGACCGACACGTGAAACGTATGTAATAATACCTGTACACGTATGTACTTACATATATGGAGACGTTGTTGAGCGATTTTCCACGGGACAAATATCGTTTCGCGAGAGATAGGAGGAGATTGAGAGAGAGAGAGAGAAGCCGGAACGGCGTCGATAATTTTCACGTATATTTCTTCGAGATTCTCTCATTGATTCATTGCGTCCTTGCACGCGAAATGTGCGCCTTTAAAAAGTGAACGTGGATATCGTATATACATAGTATCTATATCGTATACTAATACATATTTATATATACATGTAGTCACGTTTCAAAGTAACACGATCCTCTTGCAAAGATGTGCTCCGATTCTCGAGATTTCTCGGAGATGCGATAAATTTGCGGAAACGCGAAAAATTGAGAAACTCGTATCATCGGGCTATGATTTTCAAGTAGGATAGGCTTGTATAGAAGAGAGCAGTTTATTACGATATCAAGTCTTATCATATCTTAATGTGAATGAAAAATATACATTTATATATAATAATATATGATAAATTATATAAATATATTAATAAATTATTTAATATAAAATATGCGACATTTAATATGGTATAATTATACTAATCACAGATACAAATATTTTAAAAATAGTTTTTCATTATTTTCTTCACGATTTTATATTAAAAAATATATAATTCTTATTAATATAATAATTATACTCAATCAAATGATTATTGCACAGAATTTTCTCTTGAAATTTATCCTAAAATTCATGATAAGAAAAATTTCATAAATTTCTGATTAATATATTTATCACAATTAAAAATATTAATATTTATACACAAGAAGATATAAAATATGTTTGATTAATTTTACTAAAATGTATAATAAAATTTCAATAATTTTAAAATATATTAAAAAAATATATAAGTGATAAACATAAAATATTTTACAATGCAGCCTACAATATTTTCAATCCAGCTTAATCAATTATAATAATTATGTAATTTTCGGTTTATTATCAACCATGATAAAATTTGTAGTAATTTTGCAGTATAATATAACAAGACATTTTCTCTGTTTATCGAACATTGAAAAAATAATTGTTGACTAAACTTTTCAACTAAATTATATTTGATTAATTAAACATATAAAAATATTTAAAGTAAATATAACATATTAAATCTAACAAAATGTGTATTTGACTTAAATACAATACTAATACTTATTGTATGTTCAATTAATAAAATAGTAAATTAACAGAAAGGTTAAAAATTTTCTTTTAGTGGACTAGAACATTTAAAAAAAAATTCAACAGATTCTCCCATTTATTAATTTTACGCATGATTTAAAGTATTACAATTGTTCACGGAGAGAATTTTATCTTAGAATTTACCGCGAAAATCATAGTAAGTAATAATGAGACTTTAATAATTGAAAGATTTTTATTAGAGTTTCTCTGATTAATATTTACAATAAAAAATATTAATATACACATACTATGTACAAATAAAATTAATTGAAGCTATTTTATATTTTACTGTGGTAGATATTTAATATTTTCATCGTGGTAAATAATAATCAGAGAAATATAAAATTCTTCCAATACCACATATATTGTCCCACGATTACCATGATTTTCGGAGTAAATTCTAAGAGAAAATTTTCTCTGTGTAACCTAGTAAATCTAACAAAACGTGATTTCACTATTAACATATCTTCAATTAACAAAATAGTAATTTAGTTGAAAAATTTAGTGTCAAGGTAAGAATTTTTTCATTGTAATAGAAGACTAGAAATTTCTTAAAAAAATCAACAGATGATTCTCTCATTTTTTAATTCAATATTAAATATTAAAAATATTAAAGATATTTAGAATATTAAGAATATTCAATTTAAAATATTAAATATTAACTTAAAAATATTAAATATTAAATTCTAAGAGAAAATTCTCTCTGTGTACATAGTAAATCTAACAAAACGTGACTTCAATACTAATAAACCTTTAATTAACAAAATAATAATTTAGTTGATAGGTTTAGTGTCAAGGTAAGAATGTTTTCAGTGTAATAGAAGACTAGAAATTTCTTAAAAAAAATCAACAGATGATTCTTTTATTTTTTAAAATATTTAATATTTAATATTACAAATATTAAAGATATTTAAAATATTAAAAATAGGTTAAATATTAACTTAAAAATATTAAATATTAAATTCTAAGAGAAAATTCCCTCTGTGTACATAGTAAATCCAACAAAACGTGACTTCAATACTAACATATCTTCAATTAACAAAATAGTAATTTAATTGAAAGGTTTAGTGTCAAGGTAAGAATTTTTGCAGTGTAATAACAGACTAAAAATTTCTTTAAAACATCAACAGATGATTCTTGTATTTTTTAAAATATTTAATATTTAATATTAAAGATATTTAAAATATTAACAATATTAAATATTAACTTAAAAATATTAAATATTAAATTCTAAGAGAAAATTCTCTCTGTGTATATAGTAAATCCAACAAAACGTGACTTCAATCCTAACATATCTTCAATTAACAAAATAATAATTTATTTTATTTTTTAAAATATTTAATATTTAATATTACAAATATTAAAGATATTTAAAATATTAAAAATATTAAATATTAAATTCTAAGAGAAAATTCCCTCTGTGTACATAGTAAATCCAACAAAACGTGACTTCAATCCTAACATATCTTCAATTAACAAAATAGTAATTTAGTTGACAGGTAAAAAATTTGTGCAGTGTAACAGAAGAGACTAGAAATTAAAAAAGAAAAATAAAAAAAAAAAAAAAAACTCAACAGATGATTCATTTTTAAATTTTATTCTAAAGTACTACAATTACATGATTGATGACGACGATAATTTCTGCCCACGTTCGTCGTCGAACAACGGCGAGTTGTCGCGGCAATTCTTCTCGTTCTCGGCGTTTAAGCGTTAATCGGCGCGTCGCAAAAGGATCGCCGGATTCACGCGCAGAATTTCGCGGGACAATAATCGGAGCAAACGGAAAAAAAAAAAAAAAAAAAAAGAATCGTCGCGACACCGTGACGTCGATACGACGCGCGACGGCGCGTTCGATTCCGCGAATTCCGCTCGTAAATTTCTCACGCGCGCGGACACATTCGGTTAAAAAGAAACCCGACAAGTTCGTTATAAGACAGAGAGCAAAAGAGAGATGAAAGGGAGAAAACGCGTCTCCTCTCTTCGCGCGGACAAAAGATGAATTCGAGACCGATGACCTTTCTCTCTCTCTTTCCCTCCCTCCAAGGGAGAGAAGACACGAAAAGGGGAAAGATATAGAGAAAGAGGAAGAGAGGAAGGTGAAGGAGAGCAAGATCTGCCGTTAGTCGATCGCACGAGAGGACAATTTTTTTTTTTTTTTTTTTTTTCACATATTTTCCTGAGAAATAACGCGTTTTTGGGAATCACCTGGTGATCGACCGGCGGTGCCAGTTTTTCAAACTTGTTTCCTCTCGTCCAGTCTCCTCTTCTCTCTCTCTCACTCCTCCACAGTAGCTTACTCAGCCCTTTCTCCGCGTTATAAAAAAAATTCGCGCGGACGAGCCGCATCCTCCGAAGGGCCGGAATTGTATTGAAGTACCGACCCGCAGGGTGACAGCTCGCGCAAGTAGGTCAGGTACCGAAGGTGGAGAGGGGCGGATAGAGAGAGAGAGAGAGAGATACCTTCCTGCTGTCTCTCTCTCTCTCCCTCCGAGATTAAAAAGGCGACACTCACCTTGCTGCGACCTGGGTGACGGGTTGCCTTGACAGTTTGAAACGGGCGCATCGAACGCACTCCATGCCTCCTTCTTCTCGGAAGAACAAGCGGCCGCGCACTCCTCCTCGTCGGAGGGACACTCGTAACACCGTGTCGTGTCGTGTCGAGATAGTCCCCCTGGAGAGAGAGAGAGATAGAGATAGAGATGTGGAGAGAGAGAGGGTATTAATACGTCTCGTTTTTCGGGGGGCCCCGGAGCCGGTGCCTCGACGCGCTGTCAACAACTCGACACGGACGGCGAGCGTGGACGCGCGCGAAAAGCGAACGGTCGCGGCGCGTGGACGCGTGGAAATTTGTAGAAAAGGTACGCGCACGGGAAAGACGGAGGAGTATATTCGCACGGCGGCACGTCGCGTCGCGAGTCGCGAAATACGCGTGCGAGTCGGCCGAGCTCGGCCGGACTCGGCCCGCTTCGTGACGCGGCGGCTCGGCGCCGCCGGTGGCGCCGCCGCGCGGCGCATGCGCCAACTTTCCCGAATCTCGCCTCCGAGAATTCAAATCTCGACCAACGGAATTTTGTATAAATAATATATATGTATGTACGTGTTTGCGATGCGAGAGAGATGAATAACGCGGCATTGTAATTTGCGATGAGATATTATATAGGGAGAGATACAGCCTTTTATATTATTCATTTCGACTTTTTTCTTCTATTTTTATATTATATTTTTGCCATTTATTTTATTAACTATTTATAGTAATAATGATTAATAATAATAATAATAATAAAATAATTAATCATATTATTATTATTATAATTATTAATAATAATAATTAATATTATTATTAATATTTATTTATATTATTAATTATTAATTATTATTATTATCGTATAAAATAAAAGTGTATTCCAATGTTATATATTATTTCTTAATTATACTCTCGAATACACTTTTATTTTATACGATAATAATAATTAATAATTAATAATAAATAAATATTAATAATAATATTAATTATTATTATTAATATTATTATATAATTATATTATTAATAATAAATATGATTAATTATTTTATTATTATTAATTATTATTACTATGAATAGTTAACAAATAAATGGCAAAAAATATATATATATATCGCATATATATATATATATATATATATATATATATAATCGCGGAAGATAAAAAAGGACACAAAATGGAAGAATATTTCTTTCTTCCTCTATAAAAAAATATGTTTCTATATATTTACCTATTAAATCAAATATGGAAATATTGTGAAAAACGTGCATAAAATGTAAAAATAATATCAACGCTATTTATAAATCGACGATATTACGCATACCTGTTTTTAATTGTGCACCAAAATTGCATCTTCGCTGCATTTTGGCTAGATGACCGGCAAAGAGAGAGAGAGAGAGAGAGAGAGAGGGAGATGTTCGTCGATGCATAGGACTCCAGGACAGGTCTAGATATCGAATTATTATGTTAATGCGTAATAACGATTGCACACGATGTTCATGTTACGACGCAAACACTTTACGAGACATTTTTGACAATTATTCACTCGCGAGATTCACTTTTCGAGGAATAACGATCGCGAGAAATACGGAACGATTCGCACCACGTCTTTCCGTGTATAACTGACTGATTCGAAAAGGATGCTTCGAGAATCGCAATATCGCAGAATCGCGACTCTCGAGGTATCGATACAATCGAAGTAGCACGTCACAACTGCGCGCAAGTTTCAATTTCATTCAATTTGAAAATTCTTAAATTACATATTATATAATAAAATTTATATAATAAAAATTTAGAATAATAAAATTTATATAATGAACATTTAAAATGAATAATAATAATGATATAAATAAAAATAAATATTAATTTTTCTTTTTGCGAGAAAAAAAGCGAAAGAAATGAAAATAAAAAACAAAAATAAATGAATATTTAATGAATAAATATTTAAATGCGGAGAGAAATTAACTTTAAAATATTTTTATATACATATTAGGAATAAATAAAATTAACACAAAACATTATTGTTATACAAAGTATAATCCATGAAATTATAATTATGGAATAACGACATGTATTTACGGTATTAATAATTTAAAGAAAAAATGCTTTTAAAAAAAATATATTTATATATTTCTTTTAAAATTTATATTTCTTGGTTATAATATTTTTATCTTGCAAATGTATAAATTTTTTATCAAATTTAATTATTCTTAATATGTATGTATAATTAAATACAGAGTTATGTAAGAAAGTGCAAAAATTTGTGGCACTAAAGCGAAATATATTTCTCGTATGCTAATACTTGCAATAATTTGTCTTTGTACGTTGGATCTAAAATTTCGTCCAGCTTTCTTTCGAGTGTCGGCACGTTGTTTCTGTAATTACGCACAATATCTTCAAACGATGATAATACCGAGAAATCAGTGTCTAAGCGATAATTTATCCATTTCACAGCATCAGGTGGTAACGCAATATCAATGGAATATCGTTGCATTATCAATTTCGTCAAGTCGAAGCATAATTCTGATATCTTCACAGATTCGAAAACGTCGTAATTCCTACATTTGTTGAACACCTAATTCAAACATACAAATTGTTTATATATATATATTCTATCGATCGAATTTATAACTAGCAATTATAATTAGTAATATATATTTGCTCTCACATCTGTTTCGTCCATTTCGTAATCTGCATCCCCTAATAACGAAATGCTCCAACAGAACAGAGCGCTAATCGCTATTTCGGGATATTTATTAGCGACTATTTCATTAAACTTTTGGAAAAATATCGACAAAGTATTCTCCATGCACTGCAATGTGTTGCCTGGCTCAATTTTGCTAATTAATATGATTGCCTCGTGTCGAATGTCCGCATTATCGTCGATTAATAATTGCAACAGCATCGTCCACCAATTTAATGTGGGATCTGTAAACTCATTATCTCTTATTTACATTCTTATATTACATAAATTTATAATTATAATGATGTGCAAACTTACGACAATGTTCCGAATTGATATTGTCCTTATTAAAAAGATCATACAATATATCAAAAATCGATGACCTAAGGTCTTCACTTAATGAACCAATCCAATCACTATCACAGACTTTTCTATAGATATCCTCTTCATATTCCATCCTAAGCTCTTCATTCTTAAAATAAAAAATAAATAAATAAATAAATAAATAAATAAATATATATATATATATATATATATATATATATATATATATATTGCAAAAATGCCACAAAAACATAAAAGTAAAAATAAAAAAATATAAACAATCTGCAAAAAAATTAAAGGATATAAAAATGAGCAACAATAAAAAATCAACAAACCTTCAACTCGTGAATTAATGTCACCATACATTTGCCTAGCAATCTTAAGTAACAAATACGTTGAGAATAAATATTATTCGCATCATGTGAATGCATTTTTCTCAATACTAAATTACAAATTTCTTGCTTATGGCCAATATCACACTCATTTAGGCAATTATACAAGAAATCGAAGACTGCATCTTGCAATTTAGGATTATATTTATATAAATCTTGAGTAAAATTGGCAACTGCGTCAATAGTATAAGTATTCAGTATGTTTCTTTGCTGACAAGATTCTTTCTTGAGTACTTTGAAAACAGTGGTCCATGCGATGGTTTGTATCTCTGCCTCTGGTACGATCAAAAGCTGCGAATATATGTTGAATGCTTCACTTTGTCCATTGCATATTGTTTGTAAGAAATTCGAATGTTTTTCAACGCAGAGTATAAATTTGATTACAGATATTTTATACATTTGTTCGCCAGGTCTTTGTATTAATAGATTCTTTTCAATTAAATGTTGCCGCAATCTATGGAATATAGCCTCCATTTTGCAGCTTTCAATTCTAAAAATATATGAACAATTGTATTAAATAGGTTCATTTCAAGTATTATAGATATCACGAAATAGTTATCTTACACATTTTGATCTAAATTGTATAATTCATGAAGAATATCGATGTATACAGTAGCTATTGGAAAACAACCAAATCCACTGGTTTTTTTCTCCAATCCTTTTAATATCCAATCTGTTGAGTTTAAAAAATCTGTAACATCAGATTTCAACAACTCAACAAATGGCAATCTTGTTAAGATTTCTAATATCTACAAATTGAATATCAGAAATTAATATTTTAATAATTAGTTAAAATCTAATTATTCAATTATTATATGCTTGCCTGTAATAAATAACCATGTATTAAATTTGCTGAAATCTGAGTATCTCGCGCTGTACATAAAGTTAAAAGCAATTTTTTCACAAAAATGTGAGCTGTGTTCTCCGTTAAAAATGGCACCAGTGCTCTAGCTGCAAGTTCACGTGTTTTATGCACAGGGCTTTTAGCGCATTGCGATATAAAATTAACAAATTCATTTATAACCATCTAGAAATACATTTGCTATTATATTTATTCATCTCAAATAAACAGCAAAATAATTGGATTTTTTTATAAATACCTTCCAAACAACATCTCTTCCATCAAAGTGATAATTAATATACAACCGTGACAATAACAATAAAATTGCTTGTATGTTCGATTTTATCATGATATCCTTAATCGATACGAAAATATCTAGTTCCCTCAGAATAAAAGGCAGGAGCTGAGGATATCTTTCGAAAAATATTCTCCCTGTCATTTTGTTATCTGTCGTCAAATTAATGTGATCCTTGGTCCTTTGAACGCCAAAAATTCGAATTATAAGCGCGCTGAACAGTAATGTAGCCGCATTACGTTCCTGTAATAGAATTATTTTCATTGTGAATCAATTATTCATATTAATATTTTTCAAAATAATTAGCCATTACTTACCGCCCATGTTTTACTATCATAATTTCTGAATGCCACCATCAAACCATCAGCAATATAATTCTTGACCATATCTCCGAGTTGAGAATGTTTAAATAAAGCTCTAAGAATGTTCATAGAATGAGTTTTTATCTCAGTTACATTAAAATTAGCTTCCTTATAATTGTCCTCATTTCTATTTTCTATTATAGAATGCTCATATTTAGAAAATATTGTATTTTCATGCATTATGCACTTTACTTTTCGCCAACTAATTGTATTTTCGAGCGTCGAAAATTGTAATAAAATTTTCATAATTGAATCAAATGTAGGCACATTTGAATTATCATGAGTTTTTGATTCTGATGATAACACTGCCTATTTTAAAATAAATTGGTTTTAGCATCATCTTATAAATCTTGTATAATATTTCATCTTTTATTTTTGTCCAAACCTGTATCATAAATGGTACTCCAGCACTTCTTCTTGTTGCACATAATTTTGAATACCCTGGCATTAATCCTGTAATACCTATTAAGATATCGTACAACCAATGTATAGGAAGTGTATTTAAAGTCGTGTTTGTTAATCTCCATAGCCGTGTGCATACTTGATAAAAACCGACATACGCCTGTTCAAATGCACCTCTGTGCTTTGTTTCGCATAATAATGAAACCAGATGTTTCATTATATGCTCGACCTATTAATATAACACTATATTAGTCTTGTTTAGTTATAAAAATATGCATTCATATAAATATATGTATATCTTACTTGTTGCTTCGTTAATAATCCATTTACAGATTCATCAGTTTGTATCGATGCCTTGCTGACAAGTAGCCCAAACAACTGACTGACTTCTTTAACAGTACGCCAAGAACACAATAATACCATTTGCGGTGTTATAGTTTCTTTCTCAGGAAATGATGTATCATCATTAAAGTTTAATAGTTTCAAGTCCATAGGCAAATGTCCTTCCGGTGAAGAATTATTTACTATTACAGAAACAGTATGATTTAATTCAAAGCACAATAATATGATATTAGCTATGGTATTTCGCCATAAATTGTCTGTTCCTGCATCTCTATAAAAAAAAAAAACAAATATAATATCAAATTTGTAAAAAAGAAATTCGTAATACAGCACATTTTTTCTTAATTACCTTAAATCACAATCAGAAAGCAAACTTCTCATACAAAATAAATATCCATACAAAGAGCATTTAACAATTGCCATCCCCATGTTCTGTTTTGCTACAGTTAATGCTTCCTGAAAAAATAAAAGCATTAAGCATTTATTTATACTATAAATTTATGACAAATTAATAATAAATTTATTAATTATAAATTTTTAACATGTTAAAAGAAATGTCATGTTTTATATATACATACATGCAATTTTGTATACAACAGCAGCACCAATCGCAATGTTATTGCCTCTGTAATGTTGTCTTCTACATTGCAATAATCGCAAAGTATATTTTTGATGACAGGAGATAACTGGATCACTTTTAACATATATGCAGCTGTAACACTGTCTATGGGTCGTATGCTGCTACCTAATTCAAGCGCAACTTTAATTATTAATTGAACCTCAGATTCCAAATCTAAGGACAATAACACTGGATCCATAAGTTTTAATATTTGATATGCCATTTCCTTATTTGGCTCATATGTATCCAACAATAAACATTGAAATATCGTTTTGGCTTGCTCCTTACTCCATTTTATATCTTTGAATTCATTACAAAGTGTCTGTTGCGCAAGTAAAAGTATTTGCAAGCTAGATCGTCTACGACTGTATGTTGCATCTGGATACAAATTCTTCACGCAAACTTCACGCAAGCTTACAACAAATATAGTGTAACCTACTATATTTTGTTCAATTTGCTCAGACATTTTGTAAGATAAAGCCAAAGTATTTTCATATGTGTCGGTAAGATTATTTTGTTCTTTAAGACGATTTCTCATGTTTTCTTCTTGAGTCAGGTGTCTCTGCATGACAGCCAAACTGTCTTTCAATCGCTTCAAAGCCTAGAAAACAATTATAAATTTAATTTACACAAGATTCTGATAAAAATAAAAGACAATGCCAAAATATATCTAGTACCTTCTTGACTAAGGGTACATATTCCATCTTCTCGCACATATTATACTTTAGAAATAATAGGATTATATCAAGTTCCATGCGGGTAAAATATAACGTGCTTTTCTTTGATTCCACTAAAAGTGCCAACGTCTCCAATCTGCACTATAACAAACCAAAGTGAGAAAATTTATTACTTGATTGTCTTTTCGAATTTTAATAAAATTTTAAATAAAATAAAAAATTATTTTATTTATTAATTTATTTTTTTTTTTTATTAAAGCAAGTATCAGTTCCAGATAAATTGTTACCTTTTCGCTGTAATTCCTGACGCATGTTTCTAAAACACTGTATTCCAAAGTATTTCGCCATTTGACAGCTTGCTGCGCTAATTTCTCATCAGTGTCCAACTCGCCCTTTTGTTTCAATATTCTCAAGTCATTTAATAAAGTACAAAGTTCCTCCTCGTTCATATTTTTTAATTCTTGCATCGTTTAAATCCCTAATAAGCGAAAATGTTTTTTTAGGTTGGAAGGAAAGATGATGTTTACATTCATCTCTGATGCATTCATGCTTACAATTTAATATATATATGTATACACGTTTTTATCACTGATATTCGCTAATTTCGAATTATTAATCAATAAAATTAATTAATTATTCAAATAATATAAATGTCTGTTTAATTGTAACAAATTTAAACTTGTTACTTATTTCGATACCCTGAAAAAATGCATAAACATTAAAAAGTATATTATGCAAATTCTTGATTATTGAATATCAGAATTATTGTTGCAAAAGATAATTAAATAAAAAGTCGAATTTTTATCTCTAGCACATATTTTATTATTTTGATATTATTTTTAACATTTCGAAATTAAAAATAAAAATTGAAGTAATGTAATAAAATATACTCTACTTTGACGATTTCATATATTTATAAGGGTATTTTAAGCGTTTTATTTATATCTACAATAAATAAAATATCCTTTTTATGTTAATTATATATTTGTCTTTTTTGCTTTATTCTCTTTAAAGTCTAAATATTTATTTGGATATAATAATAATTAATATTGAGAAGAAGAGCTTTATTCTTTTCGATTTTGCTGAAATGTCATAATAATAATTATGTGTAAAATACGAATTTAAAAATTAAAATTGTCGCTTTTTTTTATTATATTTATAATCAAAATTTTAAATATATATATTTGCAAAAAAACATGTGCGTGGGATTCATAAATGACGCCATTACGTCATCAAAAGAAACTAGAGATGCGTTCAAAAATCTGTCCGTCAGAGTGCAAAATCTGCTCGGCCAATCAGAGACCGAGGCTCCCTTCGTCCTGATTGGTCGATCAGCGCGTCACCTCAGATGGATACATTTTGGAACACAAACTAGAACGGTGCTGCCCTCACGAAGGTGCACTTTCGAATAGTTCGCAGTCAACAGTCGCGTATTCGTCGTCGGTCCGCGAAAGCACGAATATAAATATTAATTACCGTCGTTAATTAGCCGCATGTCGTGAATTATCAGATCGCGCCGCGTCTATATCGACATCGCAATCGCGATCGCGGCGAGAGATTGATCGGATGTCTCGTCGCGAGCTCGCTCGGAGCGTTCAGTCCGCCGCGAAGGTCACGTGACGACGCGGCCGCGTGACGTCACAGCTCGCCCGAGTCCCAAAGTTATTGCGCACGAAGTTTCCGCGGGGACGATTGCGAGAATTTTCGGGCGCCTTCGACGCGAAATTTTTTCAGGTTTTTTGACGTTGCCGAGTAAATTCTAAGTGGCCGATTGCGCGTTTCCGGTGACACTTCCGCGTCGTCCTGTCAAAGTATCGCTACGCAGCGAATAGGCTCGTGATTTGTGTAAAGATCGTTGGTCGATACCGGCAACAATCGTGCCGCCATATTGCCTTCGCTGTTTTTCTCCGCGTTTCTTCGTCGTCGAAAATTCGGGTGTCGCGAACGAAAAAAAGTGACGCGAGTGCTAGTGTTTGCAAGTGTAAGTGCCTCTGAGGAGAGGCCCGGGGTGGCATCGTGCAACGCCGGAGCAATCATCATGGTAAATAATTTGTCATTTTTTTATTACACTTATTTATTTCTTCATTTCTTCTTTTTCTTTATTTTTTCTTTATTTTTCTTATTTTTTTTTTTTTTTTTTTTATTTAGCAAATTTTAGTTCAAGTATGCTTATATATTTGCATATTTTTTGTGCATTATTTAGTAATATAGAATATTATATATGCATTTATATAATATTTGTTTCTTTATTTTTACATAAAGGATCTCAAGAAGGAACGGAGGAAAAAGAGAGGAAGAAAGGAAGCTCGAGGTAGCATCAACGAAGCAACTCTAGGGTGAGTATTGTGATTTATATGTAAATTTGTATAAATTGTAGACTTATTAATTCAATTTATTTATTTGAACAATTTGAATATAAGAGAGATTCAGAAAGAAAGACTTATATAATAAGTTGTATAATATAAAATTGTTATTTGAAAGTATTATATATGTAATTAGAGAGAATTGTAATATTAAATAATTAGAATACAAAATTATTTGACATTTATATATCTGCTTATTATACGTATTGAATATTTGATGCGTAAAGTAGTAATTTTTTAAAATATTAAATATATTGCGCATTGTTATAATTTGAATTTTATATTTGTGTGTTACAGACAACGTAGCTACAAAATCAACAATTTCATTATTGCATCAGTGTTGGTGAGTCGGTGATAATCTTTTAATATTGAGGTAACGGATTTATAATAGATTGTATAATATATTGTAGATGGATCCGTTTACCTTAAAGTGGATGAGTTAGAACAAATTAGATTACTTTTCATGAATATTTTCAATATGCATCTGCTCCAAGAGTAAATTAAAACATAAATTAAAAGAGAATTTTTATAGAAAGCAATATTTTGTCAGGTAGTACAATTTATTTTAATTTACTTAGTAATAAATTCTTTCAATATGCATCTTTCAATATCCAATCCAAGAGTAAATTGAAACATAAATTAAAAGAGAATTATAAAAGCAGTATTTATTAAGTTTCATTTTCATTTATTTATTGAAGAATACGCTTATTTTAATTTTAATTATAATAATTACATGTCTAATAATTACATGTTTAATAATTGCATGTATTTTGATTATAATATATAATGATAATAAATAATTGTTATATCGATCATATTCTGATTTGTTATGGTTCATCCATTTGTGTACTAAAATTTGTTGAAAAAAATCTACAAAATTACATGATATTGTAATTTCGACAAAATCGGAGAGGTCTGGAGCTCTCCTTCAGTATATATATTATCTTGATTTGGCATTGAGCGCAGTTAAAACAAATAGACGTAATTACAGCGTGAAATATGCGATTAACTCGTTGCTTCGATCGTCTCGACACCTCGAGCAATATTGCGGTTCGATAGATTTCGAATCGCTTCACGGAACGTATTCCAATTTGTCTCGGCGAATTTTACGCTTTGTTTTTGCCCTCCTTCCCTACAAAAATGATATTTTTGATTCGCCACATCTTACGTCCGATTTAATAAAGAAGCGCGAGAGAAAGAAATCTTCCGCACTTTCTCATTGTCCGCTACATTGATATTTAATGTTTGTTTGCCGCTAAAAAAATGTATCTCGTAAATATTAAAGCATTTACTGTCTAGTGCACACTATGTGCATAAATCACGCACTGTGTGTAGCTCTGATATGCTACGGCGTAGTCTGTACTCGCATTTATTCTGTCGACAGGCTTATCTTGGCGGCATATGTTACACACATATCTCCACTTCTATATACCTCCGGACGAATGGCTGTCGCTAAATTTAAAAAGCATACCTTACAATCTTTTGTTGATTTACATACGCCGCATGACGGTCCGTCGTTAACTTGAAATTTTACTTACCAAATATTTTCAGAGTTCCAAAATCTATTTGCTTCGCAAGGCATCAATAAATAAATAAGTCAATTAATAAATAAGAAATAATATATAATAAATTATATAATAATAATAATTAATAATAAATAATTATTATTAATAATAATAATAATAATTAATAATCAATTAATTAATAAACAAAAATATAATGCATACAGCTATATTATACAGGGTGTGTATACTCCCGGGAAAAACCTGAAATCTCAGGGAATTTTTTTCTACCTTGAAAAATCCTGGAATACTCGTGGAATTTATTTCGAACTCGGGAAATTTTTTAAAAAATTGCCCCTTTAATTTTATTTTTAAATACTCAACCTTAATTTAAAGAATATAAAATTTATTAAGTAGTATATAAAATATATTGAACGTATTTTATTATAAAATATTATATTATATTAAAAAATATTTTATTTATGTTAAAAAATTATGTATGACAAAAATAAACTTAATTTAAAATTGTATTTAAATTTTTTTAAATAATTTAATTTTACTTGGAATTTTGAACAAAAGTACACCTGAAAAATCATGGAATTTATTTATAAGATTTGAGAATACACACCTTTGTTATATTATATTATATGAAAAATATCATTTTTAAGAAAATGTGAAAAATTGATATTCATGAAAAATTAGGAATTATAAAAAATAAATATTGTAATATTATGATAATAATATTCAATTAATAACAAGATAACAAATTATTGATTTAAGATTTTTATCTTTAATATTACAATATATATTTTTTTATAATTACTAATACTTAGCAACGCAAAAATAAAAATTTTTTTAAGCTCTTTTGAGCTGCATTTAATATTTCAAAAAATTAATACGTTGTTCATTTTAAATAAATAGAATCATATATCGTAAAATTAATTATATATATATATATATATATATATATATATATATATAAATTTTTCGATAATGATATTAATATTTATTTATAATTACAATTAAACATATTGTTTGCACATTTTGCTTATTAATTTGTATACAGCATGATACTTATTATTTACAATAATTTACTTTTCAGTAAATAATTTATAACTAACATGAATAAATTTAGTATTATTTTTTAATATTTATGGTAAACTTATTATTTTTTAATATTATTTTTCAAACAAGTTCTCTCTTTTATATTTTATTAAATAGCAAAACTTGTGAGAAAAACCGTTGAATATATTTTTTCCTCTTTTTATTAGTCTTTTGGAAAGTCTTTCGAATATCGTTAAATAGTCGTACTTATTTATATTTACATGATGCAACTTTTGCTTTATGAACTTAATTCGCGAAACGGATTTTCCTGCATTATTTAGAAGATTGCAATTTCGCTTTAACAATCTTCATTACAAAACAATTTCAAAGAACATCAGTTTCATGGTGCACTCTGACATTATTAGGTCAACCCACCCTAGTACGATTGCAATTATTATTTTGCAATCTTTTGCCTCTCGTAATAAATTTGCACAGAGAATTCTTTTTATGAATATTTACAATGTCAAAGATCGAATAAAAATGAAAACGAGTATTATTTAAACACAACATGATTAATTTAAGATTCCGTAAACCCATTGTGATTATTTTTTAAGATATCTTTATAAATGCTTCAGCCGCGTTTTGTATAATTTAGATGTTCTTTTCATAGTTTTGCACGGATAATACAATCTGTGTAAAATATACATATATTATACCAAGAGATCTATCTGTCAAGATATTTGACTGTTTTTACTTCAAATTATTTATGTCAAATAATTATTTTAAAAAATCAAATTGCGAAAAATATTAATTTTTATAAAAACTAAAATTATAAAAAATCTATCATATATATATATACATTTTATAAAATTAGATTCGATTATTTGATAGATAGTTTATTTTTAAAAGCGCATGAAAAATTCAAGTATAAAATATTTTGCAAGTCTCGTGTTTGATTTAAAAAAATCAAATTGCGAAAAAAATTAATTTTTATAAAAACTGTACAAGATTTTATAAAAATTGTATAAGATTATAAAAAAATTATCATACATTTTATAAAATTAGATTTGATTATTTGACAGATAGTTTACTTTTTAAAAACGCATGAAAAATTCAAGTATAAAATATTTCGCACATCTCGTGTTTCATTTGAAAGAATCAAATTGTGAAAAAAATTAATTTTTATAAAACTGTAAGATTAAAAAAATTATCATACATCTTATAAAATTAGATTCGATTTTTTGACAGATAGTTTACTTCTAAAAAGCGCATGAAAAATTTAAGTATAAAATATTTCGCATATCTCATGTTTGATTTAAAAAATCAAATTGCGAAAAAAATTAACTTTTATAAAAACTGTACAAGATTTTATAAAAACTGTATAAGATTATAAAAAATTTATCATACATTTTATAAAATTAGATTTGATTATTTGACAGATAGTTTACTTCTTAAAAACGCATGAAAAATTCAAGTATAAAATATTTTACAAGTCTCGTGTATTTTTCTGAAGTAATTACACTACATGGTAGTGTCTCATTTTTTCCTTCTTCTTAAAGACGAGGTCAAGCACAGGTATAATGTCTTCGTTAATGTACGAACTGCGGGAAGAGATGGATCTTTGGAAATTACGTGAGAGCTGTTTGTGTTTCGTTATTTTAATTGCGCGTCATCCTGGGAAGAATCCCAGAACATTTCCGACTATTCTCCAAAGTTTCTTCCTTCTAAGTATCTAACCGAAAATGCGGTCACGCGGTTACCTGAGAGCCACATAAATTGCGTAATTAATTGTCATTTAAATTAGCCACAATTTATTTTACATATAAGTTTCACTTTCAAATATAATTACAAATTTATTTCGCTTCTCGAGATCGAAAGTTTCTTCAAATCAGATATGAAGATATATAGTTGAGTTATGGATAACATTTAAAGAAAAGATATATAATCGAATATTTATTTTCTTAAAAAAATTGAGAAACTATATGGATTGTGTCTATAAACGTAAAGATTTAATTCAAGCTTTGTATAACCATTTAATACAATTTTATTTTTTTTAGCTACATTTTCTATGTACTGTTATCTCTTTTTTGTTTCTTAAAATGTGAGCATATTAAGTGCACATTTTAAGTGCACAAAGCACGAGAAGATTTACATAAAGATGTAAAGAAAAAGAACAAAGAACGAAGAAAAGAATATTATTACATACTTACTTCTATTATATTTACACTGAAAAAGAAATTGTTAACTTGACTAAACCTTTCAACTAAATTATTATTTTGTTAATTGAACATATATTAGTATAAGTCAAAATAACGTTTTATAGATTTAATAAGTTGTATTTAATTTAAATATTTTTAATAATATTTAAATATTTTAAATATGTTCAATTAACAAAATAATATATTTAGTTAAAAAGTTCAGTCAAGTCGACAATTTTTTTTTTCAGTGTATGTATATAAAATACATCTATATACAATATAAAAATTATACGTTAAAATATACATTTTAGATTTAATATGTTGTATTTAATTTAAATATTTTTAATTATAATTAAATATTTGAAATATGTTCAATTAACAAAATATTTAGTATCAAGTTGACAATTTTTTCAGTGTATGTATATATAAAATACATTTATCTATAAAAATGACATACATAAAATTACGTAAGCAAATTACGTACATAAAACCAAATAAAAATATTACTTGCATTTCATATTTATTTACGTCAGGAAAATAGAAAATGAAACGAAATAATACAAATGAATGGTCACATTGAGCGCACAAAACCATCCATTGAACCATCCGCTTTAATATATACCTTTAATTTGCGAGAGATTACTTCTGGCTTTCAGAATTTATTAATAAGATTTTAATAAAATAGCGCACAATTCTTTGAAAAATGGCTTGCACTGCGCGAGTATTCTTGATAATAAGTAATCCTATACTTGCCCGGGGATATATATAACTATATGCATACGGAATTCTTGGATCGACCGCGAATCTCTTTCGCGCGAGGGTGGCTTTCTGACGAACAAGTTTGCGGAATTTTCTTCTCATTTACGTCAGTTCAGCGACGCAACGCGTTTTGTGACTCTCAATTTCCGGCGAAACTATTCGACAAGCTCGCACCGCGAGTGAAATACTTTCGTAACTGCAGAATACAAAACAACTCTAGAATTGAATTCGGAAACAGATTTTAAATTGAGACTTCTGTTAGGAAATCTTCCTTCGAGCATAGTTGAAAAATTTGTGGAAAAACAGATATCACGTGTCCCAAACAGGAATTTTTGTGTTAATTTAACAATTTAACATATAATATGGATATATGTTAAATGGAGAACTGTGTTAATATTTTAATATAAAATAAATGCAAACTTTCAAGTATTTTAAAATAAACTTTGTGTAAAATTAACAGAGTTTTAATGTGTAAAAATGAACTGAAAGTATGTCAGTTTAGATTTTATCATTCCTACTTATAAAATTAAAAAGTCAACATTTTTTCCTGTAAATTTTAACAGATAAATCTTGTTGACGTAATAAAACAAAACATTTATTGAGTATAATTAAAAATAGATGCATGTTGTGTTATTTTTCAGTTTTAACAATTTAATATTTCAGTTCAATTAACACAACAGCAATATGTTAAATTAATGCATGAATGTGTTAAATATTCAACACAAAAATTATAACTGGGACCGTTTTTAACAAAAGAAACCATCGAAGAGTATCTTTACCTTTTATTTGTATATCTTGTTATAGATACAGATATACAGCGTGTCCCATAGAAAATTGCTGTCATTTTTAATGCATGCAGTTATTGAGAAAACAAAAATTTTTAATGGATATAAATAAAATGTTTGTATACCAGTTTAATTTATTAATAAAAAATAATGAAAAAAGTGTTAATAATCACATAAACTAATGATAAATATTTTCAACAGTGCCAGATTTAATAGCAGCTATTAAAAGGATCGTCAACATTAAAAATGACATGTCAGAAAAAGTTTTTACGAGTTTTCGTAAAAGAACAGAATTTTGTGCAAATTTAAATGGT